ACTACTTCTACTAATGATCGTAAGCCGTAATAGAGTGATGAGATGAGTGGGTGGTTTTTTTCTGCCTCACCGCAAACACCTTGGTCCACGAGCAGTTGCGTATTTGCTGATACACGCGACTCGAACCCGGGATGTTGCCGTTTCAAGCTTCGATGTCATTACGTTACCGAGCGGTGTGTAACGATTGTCACAACGGTTTACGACGCGTTGCGTGGGTCATTTTGTCGAGGCCCTCGTCGTAGGAACAGAGTGCTACACGTGATCCCAGGCTGCACCACGATTCACTGTAGGGTGAATGGCATCCAACTGGATCATTGGGACCGTATCTGAGGAATCTAAATGCTGTGTTGCCGGCACACAGCAGGGCATTCCAAGATCAGTTTTGTAGCATCGAGCAGCTACATTGTAAAATGAATCGTGGTCCTGACTGATAACGCTTATGACAAACCTTTCGCAGAATGAGCGCTTTAATAAATAGCTCTTTTGATATAGAGGTGAAGAGGAAATCGATTCCATTAAATTTGAAGCTAAAAAGCAATCCCATAAATCCAATTTTTGGCATATTATACAGCTTAAACCTCTACACGTTGTCTCAAGCGCACAACTGATATACAGCTTTCAAACGAAAGTCTGCAAAGGATCAGCGGTACCAGCGCTCAGTGGCATGAGATGCGGAATTAGACGGCACAGTGACAAGGATTCACTGAGCTCACCTTAAGGTTGGTGATTCCAGGTAGCGCCAAGGCTAATGCGGTAAAGTGGGCATATTTTGTCAGTGGAGTCTTTTGTCACACAGACCGAGGTTGTAAGTTAGGTGGTGACCATCCCGGGGTCCGCAGGTACGGCCGAATAAAGGCAGCGTAGCTACAAGGAAACTAACAGGAAACCTAGTGAACCAGTTGATTGTGATGAGTGAGTTCGTGCCACGACAGTTGTTGCAGTCGACAGTCAAAAATTGAAAAGGCGACACTCAAAGTTAGGCCAAGACCTTCACAAATTTTCACTCATCGGTAGTATTCGGTTTCGATGGAGTAACATTCTACACCGATCACTCAACGCTCTTCTGAGACCGGGTATCAATAGGTTGCAATCCATCAGAAACTTGATAGATCGCCTCGGTGGGAAGAGCCAAAGTGGTTGAAAGAATCTTCGCGCTTCAGAAAACCTGCATTTCACATATTTTGCCCTTGACGAGTCATATATGGACATGTATGATAGAACACGTTCTGAAGACTAGTTGTCAACTGGCTGGTCAAAAGTAAAACATCAGCTACTAAGCAGATGATGTGTACAATTTAGTCCATTTTATCGTCTCCCGCGATCTCAGCGGTATCCAACGCGTGATCCGTATGTATAGCAGCAGCCGTGAGTGAAGGCTATGCCGCTTGGAATTTCCACATGTATTAAAATGCTAAGGAGATGTTGGTATATTACATGATACGTAACTTCAATGGCCTAGTGATTATGGAGATAGTCTCAAACCATAGGTAGTATGACGATGACTCGCTTGCTGTAATGCCACACCGATACGAAGCCAAATGGGACGTGGAAGTGTGGATATAAAATCTTCGAGGGAATGGCCCGCATGAAAGCAGGTCCACAGGAGTCGGTTCAACGGATAGCTGTATTAATACTATCGTGTTTTTTTCAATAACCACTTTCATTCTGCTTTTAAACTTTTCTTCCTTTTACCATTTATACCAATTGAAGTCCCCATGTACCTGATTTGGAACTCTGTCAGAAAAGCTGAAATAACATGTGCACTTTGAGATCAAGTTGTACCATAGGATCAGTCCAAGTAGTTGGACTGTAACTCGTACCGTCAAGAAATATACATTCTCAATCACTGTGTCGAGTTCCATTCCCAGCTCAGGGTATGTTTACATGATGAGTACAAACAAAAGCGAAACGCATGCGGAGTGCAGTAATGAGAGACAGCCATACCGAAATTGTCTACCAGTCACTCTATTTATCTGATTAAATAAAAAAGTAGCAGTGTTCTTCAGACGCAGTCGTATAGGGACAACATGGTAGCTAATGCCCAAGGTGTTTTCACTGAAATTTTTTAGTATATTGTCTGAAAAAGGCATGTCGGCAAACAACCCTTTACCTTTTTGATTAACTTAGAACACCTTCCTGTAGTACATTCTAACAATACATTTCACCGCTGAAATCCCGTAGCTGGAAATCACACTTTCAGTCTCGTCATTTATAGCAGACAAAAGATTTATTAAAACAAATGACCCCCAATGATAGTCTGTTGATATTCTGCGCACAGGCATGAAGAGGTGGCCAAGCGATGACTTGGTCGAGAAGAATGAAGGCCCTCACTTCGAAGCTGGCCTCAGTTCGAGCGTCGCGGCTCCCTGGTTGGGGTACGAAAGACGGTGAACACTTGTGACCGGATACACTTGTTGACATGGCTAGAAGACGACCTCAGTGGCGCTCATGATGTGAGTTTATTTGTCCCACCCATACCTCTTAGCCTATCACTTCAACCACGACCTCACTGTTTAGCCTAATATACTGTTGCATAATAAAGTCTGTTCTGCTTCATAGTACCTGGCTGGTAGCTTATCGGAACGATGCCTATCAGTTACCGGTAGCTCAGATCGCATGCATCTATTACATTTTCCGTTTTTCTTCGTTATGCATTACGGCACAGTACCTGATGTGTTTCTCACCTCTAACCAACGTGGGTGATGAGGATGATGATGCGCGCAGGCATCAAATGTCTGTTGAGAAAAAAATTGTCAGCAAATCGTTGGATAACTGAACCAGCATATATGTAGCAGATGGACAACTTTTATTTACTACATTACTGTGATTATATTTGGTTGATGGTATCCGAATCCGGATTTCTCTGTCACTGCGGCCTCAATGGGAGCAGCCACAAGACGCCTGCGCCTACAGTGGGATCATGGGTGGTTTGCACTGCACCACCCAAAGCTCCAACCAGAGAAAACCTGAAGGAATAAGACCGGGAGGCATGTGGATGGGAGCCACGTTTCATCAAAGGAACCGGCCCACATTCCTCCACAGACAAACACAGACACGCTGTATTTGGGAATCATGCGCACACAAGGCGGTGACTGGACCGTCATCCACACCGCACTGAGTGCATGGAACCAGTCTTCGAGCCTAGCAAAGCCACAAGGACCGTGCACCCACTCCCCCCCCCCAGCAACGACCAACTGTACCCTGGACCACTAGGACGAGGTAGTGGGTAATAGAGAGGTAGGCACCTTGTCAACATGCACGTCAAACGCAGCTACACCGGAGATTTCACGCAACAGCCAGTCAATAAAAATGAGGATATCAAATAAGATGAATCGACTAATGCATACGGGTATTGTGATGTAACTCTACACTAAATATGTGTATGAAATAAATTGGTCACGAACAAATCCGTGAAAGGTTAACTACGTCAGAAAATATATTTTAAGAAAATGCCACAAACACGAAAATGTTATCTAAGTTAAGTACAATTAGCTTAAGCGACGTGTGCAAGTTTATAGAAGATAGTTCAGGTAGATATTAGGACGAGTTAAAAGAAAGCATTAAGGCACTATAGCAAACCCACCACCTGAAATTAAGAGAATTAGCATGCAGCGTACCTACAAATGCTGCGCCGGTTCTGCCTACGTTCTCTGCAGGACCCGTCGTCATTTCGATGCTCGCCCCGAGTTGGATCGCTCGTGGTTTACTAGACCTGGCTTATTTAGGCACTCGCGGGCGCATGTGCTACAGCACCATGCGCTCGATGTCGATGGAGTAAAACACATCGGCACCTGTCGCTTCTGCAACTGCCGCTTCTTCTCTGAATGCACGAGGGCTTTCTCCTGCACTTGGGCAACTGCCTTCGTGGTCGGATCGCGCCATGCACGCCGATCAACCGCCTTCGATCCCCATGACCTGCAATCAAGATTAGAATGTGAGAGGCTCACTTTGATCATGTCCTGGTAACGTAATTTTGGTTTCGCTACATGCCGCTTCCCAATACTCAGCTGACCATGTAATAGTTGTTTCGGTATCCGCGTCGAATCCGTACGGCTCACATGACCGAGCCACCTCAGGTGTCTCAGCAAAAGTATGCAGTCCACTGCATACATTCCACGTTGTCGCAACACTTCCGTGTCGACAACTCTGTCGCCCCAACCGTTGTGCAAAATCCGTCGCAAACACTGCTTATGGAACCGCTCGAGATATCGCACATCCTGACGGTACATCATCCATGTTTAACTGCCGTATAGAAGAACGGACAGCACCATGGATTTGTACACCATCAACTTCGTGCCAATGGTTAGCTGATGTTTGTTCCACACTCGGTACTCTAGCTTCCCGAGTGCCTCCGCTGTCTTTAACACACGAATACGCAGCTCAGTGTGTAGCTGCTGCTCAGTCGACATCTCACTCCCAAGGTATCAGAAGCGGGAGGTGGTTTCCAAAACTTCGACACCAATGCTGATTCGCGGCAATATTGAAGGTTGCACCTCCGGTGAAGGTGTGCACTATTATATATATATATATATATATATATATATATATATATATATATATATATATATTATCGACTGATTTTCCGCGTATATGGAGGACCGGAGGACCGTATATATGCTACTGCAAGGAACCTTCAATTAATTTTCTCGTTTTGTTTCAATTTATGTTGTCAAGGTGATTGGTTAAATGAAATATGTGCCTCCACTACAGGACACTGCGAACGGAGAGTTTGAATGAGCGATTTCACCAAACAGGTTCTTGTGACCCTATCAGGTCATTCACAAAGGCGTCGTGACGTTGTTTGTACACAGTCCCCCAAAGTCGACCGTACTAGTCCGAATAAAGAGTTCACAACATAACATATAGGGTTCATGAGGACACGTCTTTGTCATACTAGAGCAAGCGTCATCCAGTTACGTCCTGAATGGAGCACCAATTCCATGGCAATATCAGTTGTGACGTTTCAACAACAAAAGTGTTTGGCATAATCAGTAGCTCACCTGCTTCAAAAGACAGTTTAACCAGCGCTTGAAGACGCGAACTTGGGTCTGTAGCCGCTTGACATCTGAAATAAAGAAATGATATCGGAAGTCTGTGTATTAAGTTACATTATGCTGAAATAATGTTGGGATACGGCAAGTGTATAGTTCAATATAAAAGATAGCAGGTTTGGGACAGTAAACCGACAGTACGCTTTGGTGCCGTTCGAAATCTTACCGAAAAGACCATACAAACGCTACATGCTCGAATGTCGACCAACTGAAAACCGCTCAATAGTCAAGCCTCCCAAAAAAATGCAAATCGCAAAGAAGTTGCTAAACTAGGTTTCTGTCAACAATCTGGAAAGTGCCGTTGAAAGTTGGGCATGGTTTCTCGATTATATGATAATCATAGCTTGTCCCAACCCAAAGCGTGGACAACTGAAAGTTTGACGAAAATGCACTTATTTGTTCCGTGGACCCAACTCTACACTGGCTGAGAGCTGAGAAGGAATAAAACGTTAGTACCCTCTAGCAAACAATTAGTTACTAGAAAATGCTGATATAATCAATCGACTGGCTACTTCTTATGCACAGGCTTTACCCGAACTTGCTATTTCTAAAATATTTATTCGCAGGACGGTAGCGGATTGCCTGAGTAATTTCACCAGTACTCATTTGACAAAGCCGGCTATCAAAAATCACTGTGACTGGTAAGTACGACCACCTTTTCGTTGGAAGTGGATAGCAAACATGCACTCATCCCAATTTTGTGTTTGATAGGAATTCTCAAAGAAACAAATGTAAATGGCTGGGTTAAGCACTAGCAGTCCCCCTATTTGTAAATGTCTACTATCAATACGGCGTTGAGGAAATTGCAACTACATACTTATGGAAGATGTCTAGTTAAAAGACAAGATTGTGATACTGGGAAGTTTAACGGCATATTCACAGCTATTAAGCACGTTATGAAACGGTATTTCACTCCGGGCTCCATGGCATTAGGCCGAGGACCTGTTGAAAGTTTCATGAGATGCTGCGACACAGGTTCGGTAACTGTGGTCAGATTCGTGTGCGATGTTCTAGAACGATTCCCTATGGACGATGACTCAGTCAAGTGTGCCAACCTGGAGAGCACAAAGAACATGTGTGTACGTGGAAGTCACTAGTTCGGAATCGGTACCCTGCGTCTTCGTGTGGCAGAAATGTAACACTGGTCCGTTTGATGTTGGTCAGATTGATCGTTAGAGCTCAGATGTTAACATTTTGTCGAACAGTAAGACACGTTAGTCCACGCTGTCTGTTAAGGGTAGTTCAAGATGAGCAGTGAAGCCAGGGTGTTAAATAACTTGTTCCTAAAGCTACACAAAATGCACTGAAAAGGGAAATCTATTCCAAGTCCATTTGATTCGCATACACTGTGACTGAATGACAATGTCAGTATATCCGCTTGCAACCTAGAAGGCACTGAACTGACTTATGCAGGAATCTCGATTGCGATGTTTGGTCCACGATCGGGGTAAAATCAATATAACCAAACGGTTGAAAGTAGATTAAGAAGGAGCTCTCCAAGTATCAGCTCATCCACTGATCAGTTGCAACCTGACAACATCGTTTATACCCACGTGAGGAGATCAATCACCGATACGTGGGCTCAAATGATTGATCGCAACACGTGAGTAAAACTATTTAGTCATTGAACAATCAACTAGTTCAAATGAAACGATAGCATTTTGAAACGTTCGGCCTCGCGCTTCACCGTTTAAATTCAGAGAAATTCATGATGTGATTCTCCGATCAAGAAATGTGTCAGTTGACCTAGTAGATATGCGTTGGTAGAGATACACTAGAACGTCAGTTGGGGAGAGAGCCATTACATAACGTTTGGGGTGGAAGCGGAGCAATGTTTTAATATCACTTTAATCGAAGTGCAAAAATTTGAAGCTCTCAAGTTTTCCACGAAAGACTTCGTCACATTTTGGCAGTGACAGCACTAAACAGGATGGTAGCCGCCCTGGCTTTTTCGAAATTTCCTCGCAATAGTGAGCACATGCGTTTTGGCCATTTTGTGCAGCAGTGCTGCAGTAAGAGCTCGAATGTTAGGACCTACGTTTGTGAAGTGAACCATATTTTTCTTTAGCAAACTGTGAGCTGCCTTATCGATGTTTTGGCTCCCCATATCCAGTTCGATGTTGAACCGCATGGGAAACACGGTGTCGATTTGCTCGTATCTGGCAACAAGATAGCAGCAGGAATAAGAAGTTTTAAGGTAGGTATAAAGCAACAATAAGGGTGCAGCTGAACTCCTGACCGGAGAAGTTATTTGGACGAAACGAATCAATGGATAACGCCTTCTGATGCACGTGCTGAGTGGGGATCGAATCAGAGGACACTGAATAAAATAACAAAAAATCGGCAGAAAAAATTGTAGAAGGGCATCGAATTGTATAGCTAAAAGGACCGTTTTACTATGAGCACAAAAGAATAAAATTTGAGAAGAAATTCCCGTTGTAATCCCATACAGAAAAAAATCGGAAGACGTAAACTGTGGAATGACTCAGGCCCATAAGATCGCCTCTCGTATATCAATCAATTTCGCATGAGTATGATTGCTGATCAAGCGCGAAGTGACTGTCAACTTACATTTTACGTATTTTGCATTTTCAGTTCGGAAATATTTTAAGCTTTATGTGGTAAGAAAAATGAACATGGTCAGTTCTTACATACAGCTCGCCCCATGACCCACTCCGAATGTTTCCCTAGTTCGATCAAGTAGGACACACACACACACAGACAACCCATTCTCTTTACCCGTCGTACAGTTTGAGTGTACAACACCCGGTGGATGAAATGATTCTTGGTGTTCCGAGATTGGCAAAGAATGATTGCATCCATCGCAAGATAAAAGACGAAGGAAGTTTGAGATAAAACGTTGGTTCACGAGTAAGAATATAGATCAGATAGTACCTATGACGCCGCAGTCCATCAGAAGGAGCGGCATTCCCATCGGAGCTGTCAAGGCGGATTCATCAAGGTCGTGTGGCCTAAGTAAGACTTGAATAGCGTGGTTGTTTATTAGTTATTCTTGTTAAATCCGGCTTCAAAACACTGGGTTTCCCGTTATACTTGGTGCGTATTCATTGCGAATAAAGAAATATACAAACTGAACTTAAAATTGGATGTTTCACAAAGCAAATTGGACATTTTAACCCACTTTGGACACATTACATTCTAAGCAGCAAAGCAGCAATTCGCCAGCAAGAAGGGATGAGTAAGGCGACTGGACTATGTTCAGTCTACATTGTAGTCATGCTAATGCAACCGATTTTTGTGTAAACAACGGGCGCCAGTACAAACACTTCTCTTGATCGCGAACCGCGACAAACTCAATCAAAGGCGGTGACTGAGTATCCCCCTCTCTCCCAATCGCTCTTCGCGTAGTTTATGTGCCTCTGAGTTTACATCTAGGCCTGTGTAGCTATGTGACTATTGGAAAGTCAGACTCCCGAATCGCATAGTCTATTTTGACCTAAACAAATGTTACCTAGCTTTAGGGGGTCATTATGAAGCACGCATGTTGTGAATGGATTGCGATGCGTAATTTCAATGTGGACCGCGATTCCAATTCACGTAAACCTTAGCCAGTTCGATCACTTAGGAGCAGATAGGTGACGACCCAGTAGTTCGCAATCACTCTGTGAGCCTTCGCGTATTTTGTGTGAGTGTGTGGGCGAACTTATTCAGCTGCTGGGTTAGTGGATCAGTGCAGGCCATCACGACTCCACCGAACACAGTCTAGCTTTATTGTCTTACTGCTGAAAATCGTTATCAAAGAAAGGGGAGTAAGACGACTAGACGATGTTCGGACCACATTGGGGTCACGCAGATGCACCAGAACTGTGCCATCACTGGGCGATTGTGCAAGCCCTGCCCTTGATCACTGGCGTCGTTCACATCGATCAAAGCCGGCGACGCAGTTGTCCCCTATCACTCCACTCTATGAGCACTCGTGTATTACCTGCGGGTGTGTGTACAGTGCCGTGTAGTTTATCATGACTACGTCAAAACCACTCTAGCTTTACTAGCGTACTGCTTAAGTTTGTTATCACCGACAGGGGAGTAAGGCGACTGGAGTGTTTTCTGACCACATTTTGGTAATGCGAATTCAATAGAATTGTGCAAGCAGTGGGCAATGGTGCAAGGCTTCCTCTTGATCATGGACCTCGTTCACCTCCATCGAAGCCGGTGGCACAGTTTGTCTTGTCAACCTATTGGCATCCGGATATTTTATGTGGGTGTGGTGCCGAACCTATTCAGCTGCTCGATTATTGATTGAATCAGTGCAGGCTATCATGACTCCGCCAAACCCAGCATCGTTTTACCAGGCTTGGGTTGCACGAAACGACTAGGATAAGCGAAGAAGGACAATCGCCCACACTATTTGCACAGTTCTGGAGCATTTGCGTGCCCCCAATGTGGTCCGAACATCGTCTAGTCGTCTTACTCCCCTTTCTTTGATAACGATTTTCAGCAGTAAGACAATAAAGCTAGACTGTGTTCGGTGGAGTCATGATGGCCTGCACTGATCTACTAATCCAACAGTCGAATAAGTTCGCCCACACACTCACACAAAATACGCGAAGGCTCACAGAGTGATTGCGAACTACTGGGTCGTCACCTATCTGCTCCTAAGTGATCGAACTGGCTAAGGTTTACGTGAATTGGAATCGCGGTCCACATTGAAATTACGCATCGCAATCCATTCACAACATGCGTGCTTCATAATGACCCCCTAAAGCTAGGTAACATTTGTTTAGGTCAAAATAGACTATGCGATTCGGGAGTCTGACTTTCCAATAGTCACATAGCTACACAGGCCTAGATGTAAACTCAGAGGTACATAAACTACGCGAAGAGCGATTGGGAGAGAGGGGGATACTCAGTCACCGCCTTTGATTGAGTTTGTCGCGGTTCGCGATCAAGAGAAGTGTTTGTACTGGCGCCCGTTGTTTACACAAAAATCGGTTGCATTAGCATGACTACAATGTAGACTGAACATAGTCCAGTCGCCTTACTCATCTCTTCT